TAGGTTATGTGCCTGGAAGGTTAGGTCCGGTAGGCTATGTGCCTGGTAGGTTAGGTCCGGGAGGTTATGTGCCTGGTAGGTGAGGTCCGGTAGGTTATGTGCCTGGAAGGTTAGGTCCGGTAGGCTATGTGCCTGGTAGGTTAGGTCCGGGAGGTTATGTGCCTGGTAGGTGAGGTCCGGTAGGTTATGTGCCTGGAAGGTTAGGTCCGGTAGGCTATGTGCCTGGTAGGTTAGGTCCGGGAGGTTATGTGCCTGGTAGGTGAGGTCCGGTAGGTTATGTGCCTGGAAGGTTAGGTCCGGTAGGCTATGTGCCTGGTAGGTTAGGTCCGGGAGGTTATGTGCCTGGTAGGTGAGGTCCGGTAGGTTATGTGCCTGGAAGGTTAGGTCCGGTAGGCTATGTGCCTGGTAGGTTAGGTCCGGGAGGTTATGTGCCTGGTAGGTGAGGTCCGGTAGGTTATGTGCCTGGAAGGTTAGGTCCGGTAGGCTATGTGCCTGGTAGGTTAGGTCCGGGAGGTTATGTGCCTGGTAGGTGAGGTCCGGTAGGTTATGTGCCTGGAAGGTTAGGTCCGGTAGGCTATGTGCCTGGTAGGTTAGGTCCGGGAGGTTATGTGCCTGGTAGGTGAGGTCCGGTAGGTTATGTGCCTGGAAGGTTAGGTCCGGTAGGCTATGTGCCTGGTAGGTTAGGTCCGGGAGGTTATGTGCCTGGTAGGTGAGGTCCGGTAGGTTATGTGCCTGGAAGGTTAGGTCCGGTAGGCTATGTGCCTGGTAGGTTAGGTCCGGGAGGTTATGTGCCTGGTAGGTGAGGTCCGGTAGGTTATGTGCCTGGAAGGTTAGGTCCGGTAGGCTATGTGCCTGGTAGGTTAGGTCCGGGAGGTTATGTGCCTGGTAGGTGAGGTCCGGTAGGTTATGTGCCTGGAAGGTTAGGTCCGGTAGGCTATGTGCCTGGTAGGTTAGGTCCGGGAGGTTATGTGCCTGGTAGGTGAGGTCCGGTAGGTTATGTGCCTGGAAGGTTAGGTCCGGTAGGCTATGTGCCTGGTAGGTTAGGTCCGGGAGGTTATGTGCCTGGTAGGTGAGGTCCGGTAGGTTATGTGCCCGGTGGGTTAGGTCTGGTAGGTTATGTGCCCGGCGGGTTAGGTCTGGTAGGCTATGTGCCTGGTGGGTTAGGTCTGGTAGGTTATGTGCCCGGTGGGTTAGGTCTGGTAGGTTATGTGCCCGGTGGGTTAGGTTCGGTAAGTTATGTGCCTGGTAGGTTAGGTCCGGTAGGTTATGTGCCCGGTGGGTTAGGTTCGGCATGTTATGTGCCTGGTAGGTTAAGTAGGTTATATGCCTGGTAGGTTAGGTCGAGTAGGTTATGTGCCCGGTGGGTTAGGTTCGGTAGGTTATGTGCCCGGTGGGTTAGGTTTGGTAGGTTATGTGCCCGTTGGGTTAGGTTTGGTAGGTTATGTGCCCGGTGGGTTCGGTTCGGTAGGTTATGTGCCTGGTAGGTTAGGTCCGGTAGGCTATGTGCCCGGTGGGTTAGGTTCGGTAGGTTATGTGCCTGGTAGGTTAGGTCCGGTAGGTTATGTGCCTGGTAGGTTAGGTCCGGTAGGCTATGTGCCCGGTGGGTTAGGTTCGGTAGGTTATGTGCCTGGAAGGTTAGGTCCGGTAGGTTATGTGCCTGGTAGGTTAGGTCCGGTAGGCTATGTGCCTGGTGGGTTAGGTCCGGTAGGCTATGTGCCCGGTGGGTTAGGCTCGGTAGTTTATGTGCCTGGAAGGTTAGGTCCGGTAGGTTATGTGCCTGGTGGGTTAGGTCCGGTAGGCTATGTGCCTGGTGGGTTAGGTCCGGTAGGCTATGTGCCTGGTAGGTTAGGTCCGGTAGGCTATGTGCCTGGTAGGTTAGGTCCGGTAGGCTATGTGCCTGGTAGGTTAGGTCTAGTAGGCTATGTGCCTGGTGGGTTAGGTCTGGTAGGTTATGTGCCCGGCGGGTTAGGTCTGGTAGGCTATGTGCCTGGTGGGTTAGGTCTGGTAGGTTATGTGCCCGGCGGGTTAGGTCTGGTAGGCTATGTGCCTGGTGGGTTAGGTCTGGTAGGTTATGTGCCCGGTGGGTTAGGTCCGGTAGGTTATGTGCCCGGTGGGTTAGATTCGGCATGTTATGTGCCTGGTAGGTTATATGCCTGGTAGGTTAGGTCGAGTAGGTTATGTGCCCGGTGGGTTAGGTTTGGTAGGTTATGTGCACGGTGGGTTAGGTTTGGTAGGTTATGTGCACGGTGGGTTCGGTAGGTTATGTGCCTGGAAGGTTAGGTCCGGTAGGTTATGTGCCTGGTAGGCTAGGTCCGGTAGATTATGTGCCTGGTAGGTTAGGTCCGGTAGATTATGTGCCTGGTAGGTTAGGTCCGGTAGATTATGTGCCTGGTAGGTTAGGTCCGGTAGGCTATGTGCCTGGTGGGTTAGGTCTGGTAGGTTATGTGCCCGGCGGGTTAGGTCTGGTAGGCTATGTGCCTGGTGGGTTAGGTTCGGTAGGTTAGGTCGAGTAGGCTATTTTTCCCTCTTTATTTTTGTAGGAAGATATAAACAATGCCGTGGTCCTGTTGTTGTTTTTTATTATTTTTTTTCTGACCCGGATCCCTAATTTTGGGCAGTCGAAGTTGTGCGGAGAGGGGGAGGAGGGGTCCTGGGACAGAGGGGCGATGGCTGGCGTCCTCTCTGCGCCTCTTGATAAAAAGTGAACTCTATTTTATTCGTCTTCAGCAGCTGAGAGTGAAAGATAAAACTACCTGTCATGTCCCCCCCCCTCCCCCGACTCGTAAAACGCCACTCCGGGGTCTAGCACAGCTGCGAGTTCATAGGGCGCCCTGTGATGTCATCGCGTCTGCAAAAATCCCATAAAAGTGAGCGCGCTTTTCTCCGGTCACACCGCGCCCCTTACATCGACCGCGGCGCTCACAGCGATTTTGTTTCACATTTACAGAAGGCGTTTCCCCCCCCGTGTGTTGTACTGATGGCGGATTTCTATAATCGACATTGATTTATTATGGTCACATGTCGGCTACGCCCTGAACTCGCATTACCCTCCATCCCCTCCCCCACCCTGACACGCAGCTCTGCTCTGAGGGCTCGTTCACGCCGCATGGCATATAATGCGACCGCAGAAGGAACGTTCATGTGGCCACAGCGGGTGTACAGACCCGGGAACTCAGCACAGGGATGGTGGGGGCCCCTCATAATGGGCACAGCGGGTGTACAGACCCGGGAACTCAGCACAGGGATGATGGGGGCCCCTCATAATGGGCACAGCGGGTGTACAGACCCGGGAACTCAGCACAGGGATGGTGTCACTAGTCTATTTGCAATGTAATATCTGGGTTTGTCGAGGCATTTGGTGCACACAAAGTGTATTTATATCCTTTTTTGAAGCTATAGAAAAGCTAACACATTTCCGCCTGGACGGTCTTAATCTTGAGCTATGGCTGTGGAGGCTGAAACGCGTTAGCCGTTTTATCTTGTATGTCAGATGCATTGATGGTAAAGTATCATTGGAGGAGGAAGCTGTAGGCCGGCATTTTGTTCTTGCTTCCACGTCGTGGTTCAATAGAAAGTTCTGTGATGTGATTGGTGCACTTCCTGTTTATGGTCCCAGGAAGAGGGTGGGAGCCGTGCACTGCAAGGTGGGGGAGATATAAGGGGGTTGAGCGGTGTCTGGCTTGTGTCACCATTCGGAATCATTGTTTGCTGTGCTGTTAAGGGGGCTGCACCCCCGTGTCCCCACCGCACCACAGACTCCGAATAACAATTTATAAACCGTTCGCACAGCAAACCGCTATGGGCGTTATTGCCACTAGAGGGAACCAATGAGCATAGGGATTTCTTGTACTCGGCTCCATCTAGTGGCCATAATGTGCTATGAATCTCATTCGCATAGCTGCTCACTGTGCAAAGGATTCCTAGGTCACCCATTGAGCACGTAGTATACTCCACATATTGGAGACGCAGGACACACAACGGGAGTGATTTGGAGGTAATTATGGGCTTAAAAATGGTCAAGAAAGGACAATGTGGAGAAGCTGAAAGGAAAAAATGTAATTTACAGGAAGAGGCTGAATTGATGTAGAACAGGAGAGCCCCGGGCCCTTCTCTTCTGGTTGAATGTTCTTCAATAGCTTTATTCATACTCTGAGTGAAAGGAGAAAATACCACATTGTGGCCACTAGAGGGCGCCGAGGATCACAGGGAATAATTCTATGTTAGTAAGAGAACTCTGAAGGGAATGAGAATATCAATGTAACTATTGCTATCAGGGGCGGAACTACCCCAGGGCCCAAGGATAGGGGGGGCCCCAGTGACAGGGGCGGTCTGTGCTGTGGTGGCATACAGCAGGCCTGGGGCTGTCCGTCTGCTGCTGTACTCCCACTTCCACTTGCGTAGCGTGGGAGCGCTGCGGGGGGCCCATATATCGCCTGCAGTGTATCCGCCTGAATATAATGGAGGCGGTATACAGGACACACGCACCCCTCTCCTGACGTGGGCACTGTGTCACATGCCCCGCCGCCTTCAGACCGTGTGGCCGGGATGGTGTCGGGGTCTGGCAGCATTACAGTGCACAAGGCAAGTCACAGTCAGGGGTAGGGGGGGGGAATGGGGGCGCCCACACATTGTGTTGTCGTTTTGTTTAATTAGAAAAAATGGATTATAATAGGGAACATCGCACTTTACCCCGTAGTATCCGTGGTTACATCTATATGCTCATTCCCTGCAGAGTTCTCTAGAGTTGTTACATTGTATCTCTCTACTAACACGAATGTATTTCCTGTGATCCTCGGCGCCCTCTAGTGGCCACAATGCGGTATCTTCTTTATGAATGACCTCTGTGTAATGATATCGGTAAAGTGAGAAGAGAACTCCGTGCCGCTGATCCCTCGCTGAGCCTTCTGTACGGCACCGCGGCAGTTCCGGGGCAATGATTGGTCTTTAGTTATTTTTGGGTTTCTGCTAAAATAAATGTTTTTTTTCTTTTTCTCCCCCAGAATGCTAACAATCCGTAGACCAGGCCGGACTCTTCTCCTCCTCCTCCACCTCCTCCACCAGAGACGAAAACCAAGATGGCTGAACCGGCGTATTCTGTACGAAGCTATTACCGTTTATTTGCACTTTCTGTAAATCTCGCGCCTGCCTGAAGCTTCAGGATCGCTCGGTCATTTGGGGGGACGGGGGGTGGGGGAGAGAAAAAAGTGCCTTTTTAGTTTCTTTTGCGTAATAGTATTTTTTTTCCCTGGAATTGCAATTGACAATGTTGGCCTTGGCCGCCGTCACACCCTACTCGCCATTGGAACGGAGGCCGGACACGTGGGTGGGGGGGACCTTTGTCCCGATAGGTCACGTTTATGGAAGGAATGCTGACTGGATGGGAATTCTTTTTTTGTGTTTTTTTGTGGGCCGTAAAGTAGCCTAAATTTTGGTGCTTGCAGCGAGCTGCTCCATGGGGCGAGTGGTTTTTAGCGGTGAGTCGGTCATTTTGGGAAGCGTTGGCAGATTCTACTTGGGTGCCAATGAGGCTGTTAAAGGTCATGGGGCCATCGCGGGTAGATTTGACGGCCTTGTTGACCTCTCGCAAAATGGCTTCC